AAAAGACATGCCCATCCTCAGTGAAAGGCTTGCTCGAGGGATATTTCCTGACCCGCAGGCCTTGTTCGAGCTCCCTGGGGCCCACGAGGGCACTCGGCGGCGCAATCGTCCCTCGGCAGGCGTGCTTTCAGGACTCCTATTCCTCGACGGGTCCGCCACGCGGGCCAACCTGGAGGGCATGTCTAGAGCGGGGTGGGCTATATGCAGCGTAGATCGGTTTGGGAATCTGATATCGGCTGCGCATGGTCTTGCACCTGTGAGTGCCGCCCCCCAGCAGACTAGTAAGGATGGGGAAGATTATGTTGTATATATGCTGACGCAGGTAGGTCTTCCCCCCTTTCCAGTTGTATTTAGATTGTCAGTTTACTCTGGATTCCTTGGCCAACGGTCCTGGGTGCTCTGTGGGTCCTGGGGCGCCGAGAGGTCACCTCTGGGGTCCGTTCTGGTCCGCGTTTGGCCAAGGGGACTTCGAGGCTTTTAAGACGAAGGCCCATGCGACGGCCTCCGAAGTCGTGTCTGGGGTCACCACGGCATGGGAACAGCGCGCGAATCAGCACGCTGACACCTTCGCAAAGACTGGCGTTGATCTGCACGGGCGGACTGATGATGATATGCATGTGTGGCGAGGCCTTCGGAGCCTGGCCATGGAGGCAGGGAGGTGGGCGGCCCAACCCGAGGTTGCCATCTCGTCTCTGCCAGGCAGGGATACGACTGGCCTCGAGGCCACACCGCCCCCAGCGCCTGCTGCCGCCGCGGCCGAAACCGACCTCGCCAGCCACATCATGGCCGAGGACGGGCGGCCCTCGGTGGAGGGAGAGGACCTGGGGGATTGGGAATCTTCTGTTCTCCTGGTGTTCCGATGTAACGGCCATGCCCTACTGGGGGCTAAAGTTTTGGACGCTGTTGGCAACACCAAGGGGAGGCGTCAGTTTTGTGTCAAGTGTGGCAGTTTTTGCTCGGGGGGGAACCCCTCGAAAGGATTGCTAGGCCCCTGTAGGCCCAAGACGGGCGCAACGGGTGGGCTCAGCGATCAGTTGAGGAGAATTCGTCTGTCGAAGTTTCCCTCGTATAAGCATGACCTGAAAAGGGCTGCTCCTTGGGCCCCATGGGGGCCTCTCCCTCGTCGAGCCGCGGACCCTGGCAGTTGCGCTGATACCGAGAGGTCCTGGGGCCCAGCGGGACAGCCAGTCAGGTAAATTCGACTCCCAGGGTGGGTACGCCTGCAGGGAGCAAGTTTTGGATTCTTTCGGGCTCGTGGAGGCCGACCTCGCTTGGGTTAGAGACCGTGGCGAGGCCCTTGTGCGTCCCAGGGCCCCTCGAGAGGAGGAGACCGAGTCGGACGCCTCCGATTTTGTTTGATCCTGGATCAGCGGCTTCAGGCCCGTCCCCAACAACCTCCTCGTCCTCCTCCTCCTCCTCCTCCTCCTCCTCCTCCTCCTCCTCCTCCTCCTCCTCCCTCTCTCCTCCTCCTCCTCCTCCTCACCTCCTCCTCCTCCTCCTCCTCCTCCTCCTCCTCCTCCTCCTCCTCCTCCTCCTCCTCCTCCGGCGGGAGGCTCCCGTCGCCACGGCTGGATCCGCAGCGTAACACGGGTCTAGTCGCAGCGCGGGAGGGCTTTGGGGACCGATTTCGAACGGATTCGGGCCGGGCGGGAGATCGAAGAAGAAAAACCACCATGAACGTAAATATTTGGCGTTCCGCGTGGATTTCTTGGATCCGCGCTGGGCCCCCCCGGCGGCGCCTCCGGCGCCGCCTTCGGCGCGCCACCGAGGGGGGTTCAGCGCAGACCCAAGAAATCCGCGCGGAGCGCCAAAAGTTTCTGTTTGCGTCGTTCGTTCTTCTTCCGGGAGAGCCGCCGTTTGTCCGAGTCGGCCCTCCTCCGAAGGCGGCAGGCCGAGGCGGCTTTGAGCACCGTGCTCGCCACAGGAGTCTGCGCCACCCGAGCCTGCGCCACTACGCGCGACGTGGCCCCCCTCAGCACCAGGCCCCAGTATCGCGCGGGGCGTTCCAGAGAGGGCCTCGCCCTCGAGGATCCCATGAGTTGCCATTGTCTCGGCGGTTCGAAGGCCGGCGGAAGCCGGCGGAAGCCGAACGAGGGCGGCTCCACCGGCGGAAGCTGGCGGAAGTAAAGGGTGCACCCCTAAGATTATGATGTTCCGACTTACTGTATCCTTGATCACGAGAAAGAGGTTCGCGCACCAGGGAAGTACAGAAATTGGAGGATGTTCTCGTGCCCGGCCCTTTGCTGGCACATCGGGCAAACACGGTTTCGATAGTGTTCTGGGTGCTCGAAATTATTTCTGGGATGTTGCCATGGGAACTACATAGCCCCAAGAGGTGGCAACGGTTTGGGGTTCAGGGTTTCCTGAGTCGGCCACGTCGAGGGGGGGGTAGCACAGGCGGGCTGTCCCCCTTCCATCCGGCGGCCGCGCGCGCGTGCCCGAGAATGCAGGCGGCTGGGGCCCGAAGCGGGCGCAGGCAGGGGGTGCGTCCCAGGACGTGCGGGGGAAGAGGCGGACCCGAGCGGGCGAGCTCCCCCGCCTCGGGGGGGAGCGAGCCACGTGGCAAGAGCGACATGGCGCGGACTTTTTGGGTCTGGATCGGAGCCCCCCTGGCGGCGCCTCTGGCGCCGCCTCTGGCGCGCTCCGCGAGCCAGGGAGGGGGGGCCAGCGCGGATCCAAGAAAATGCGCGCGCGGACCTCAAAAAGTTTGTGTTTCTTATGTTGCTGTTCTTTCACACGCGAAGCCCCCCTCCGAGCTACTGCCCAGCCCGTCGCCCCCCCCCTCCCCTCCGCGCCGACACCGTCACCCCGCCAAGTCCGCCTGCGATCCGACTCGAGATGCGGCTTGGCTCGATTCGGAGCCATCGGCTGGGGCAAGCTGGAGCCGGGGCGCGGGGATTCGATTCGGGGCGATTCCCTGGCCATCCTTCTCAGATGCAACGCCAGGGAGGTCAAATTCTGAATTCTGACTTTGCCCTGGTCCGAAGCCCGGCTTCTGATCCCGCGTGGTCCGGCCAGTTCCGCGCTGTCCGGCTCAATCCCGCTGCATCCGCGGCCCCATCTGGCGCAACAGCCCCCCCATGGGGCTCAATTCTGTTCAACCCTTCCGACGAAGACCTCCCAGTACAATCCCAGGGGTCCGATGTCGTGGTGTGGTAAACACGGGGTCAGCAGAATTCTCGACCTCTTCCCCAGGACCGGTTTTTCATCCCGAGTCGTCTTTTGACGGCCCTTGGGCCTGGCCAAGGCCCCCAGAGGCCGAAATAGCGCAAAGATTCCCGTCGTGATTTTCCAGGGTAGAGTCTTTCTCCATCCGTTCCGCCTTCGCGATCAGTCTGGCTCAGAGATCTGGACCCATTCCCCAGGACCGGTTTTTCATCCTGAGTCGTTTTTGTTGACAGCCCCGGGGCCCGGCGAGGGCCCCCAGAGGTTGAAAATAGCAGAAAATTGTCCGTCGTGATTTTCTCATGGCTCGAGGGGGTCTGGGTATAAATTCTTTCCCCATCCGGTCCGCCTCCGCGACCCGTCCAGCTCAGGCCCGTCCGCCCCCACCCACAAAACCACCCCAACCCAACCCGAAGGCCCAGAGTTACCGTCGATTTCTGGTGGGGGGGGTCGGGGAACATCGCAAAATCACGTGCGGAACCACTACCCCCCCCCCCCAACCCGAATCTTGGGTCTTTGCGTTAGGTTGGGGTGGTCTGGTAGGTAGGGCCGCCCGCGGCCAGCGGGCGGCCGCCCCGCCATCGCTATGCTGCCGCCGTATCCCCTCGAGGAGGTGCGGCAGCTCCTATACCATGTTTTCTTGGGTTGTGTCGGGTTGTGAGTTGTTCGGAGGGCTCATAACGTTCACTAGAATGAGCATACAACCTGTTGCAACTGAGTTATAGCACGCATAACATTATAAGTCGAACCCCAAGGTGTGATAACATATAACCCGACCGCATACGACATAAGTGTTGTAGGGTGGTTATAGGTTCAAGATAACATAAAGTTAAACATCTGCGAGAAACTTAGTCAGGCGTATAAGACGTACCCAGGAAGTTATCTAGACTTCCTAGAAAAATGGGAAAACGTACAAAAGCAGCATGTTATAAACTGCGAGCCGTTTACCAATCCAGTAGCCGACCATATTGGAACAAATCGTAATTGGTCCAAAAAGTTCTACATGCATGTGCCCTTGCTGTTTACACGTCTAATAAACCGCCGAGGGAACGTCAACCGTGCTTTGGTTGCGGGTCCGTGGCTTCTTGGGCTTTAGTTTGGGATCTCGTCGGAGGCATAACGAGGCATTTGGGGGGACAACTCTGGGGCCTCTGGCTTGCTGCATCGAGGTCTCCCTTCTCCCTACGTGCTCTGGAGGGTTTCTCAGGGGCCCTGGCAGGATGCATGATAATGGTGGTGATGGTTATGCTGGTGATACTGATGATGGTGGTGGTGATGATGATGACGAGGATGATGATGAACAGTTACGGTTAAGTTGAAGGTGGTGTTGATGATGCTTATGTTGATGGCGTGCGATTGAGATGACGATGTTTTCTCGCTGCCGTCGCCTAAGCTGAGTTCATCCTGTGGTGGCTCTCGCGAGCGTTTTTGGCCCACCCAGCCAATTCCACTACGCGTGCCTCGAGCCCGTCACTGGTCCCTTCGCCGCCCACGGATTCAACCTCGGTCGCGCTGCCGTCGACGGGCGAAGGAGGAGGCCTGCGAGACTTCACGGGGCGAGGGACGCCGTCTGATGCAAC